ATATATATATATATATATATATATTAAATTTACGTTATACAGTATAATTTCTCAAAATTTTTAATATGGACTACCTAAGTGTTTTTTCTACATCTCATTTGCTTATATTTCAACAACTGTGGGGTTTAATACTTAAAAGAAGGGAAAAAAAATTTGTAGGTTGTGATGTGTGATTCGAGCCTACACATATATAATACACCAATTGTTTTTTTCTTATATTTTTTTAGACCTTCTATCTTATTTATGAAATGCATAAATAAATAAAGATATAATTTATCGGATACTACATGTCAACATTCTATAGGACGGAAAGCATCGAGTCATCATAACGACTCTGCATGAAAACCGAACATTGGAATGAAAATTAAACAGTATTTCATAGAAGCCAAACAGAAACATAAGAGATTGGTTATTTAGAACTTCATAAAGGCCAAGTTGACCAATATAACTCTTAATGGCTTATCATAGCACTTTGCGTCGCTTACCTCAATTGCTTTTCAAACAGCGTGTTGCGATTTACTGAGCAGTCGTAACAATTTATACAACGATGTCAAGGCTCTTAAACCTAAAAATAGATGGACTTTATTAAATTTTCAAGTACGTGAAACTATCACCTTATGAAGTAGAGATCATACTTAAACTATATTGATTGTCAAAACTTTTTCCTTTTCCTAGACATGTTTCATTATTCGCTGACCACACCTAAATTCGAACTTCGTGGAATTGGTTATTTTCGCAATCAAACATATATAATTACAACATACATAAATCTAACTTCAATCTACTTAAATTAATATATAAGTTTACCATGCCTTAATCGAATTTTATTTACATATAAAATAAATTAGTTGTGCCAGTACAAGTATAACTCAACTTAATACATATATCATTATCTTCATTATCAAAGAGTTAGAGACAAGAGATCGGTGTCAATTAATCTGGAGTTAATTTAAAGGTTTATTCACGAGAATGAATGCCAATTGGCAAGGGTAGAATTGAATGGGTAAAGGCGTCAATAGGGGGTTGAGAGGAGGGCTATTTCGTAAAATTGTTTCTGTGGGGTTAATGGCCCATCCCCTCGATACTAAGGACAAGGAGCCCCAAAATCTCCATTGAAGCAACAGTCTAGGGTTCGTTCCTCGGGTTAAAGCAGTGGGTCTAAATATTTTCTACGATTCTTCATTTTGGAGCTCTCAGTTTCCGCAGAGTTCTCCATTTAGTTACGCTGAATTCTCACACACAGCATCTTTGGTACTCTCTCGCTCCTTATCTCATCGTCCATGTCTTTCTTCAATCTATCTTCTCCACTCTTCTATTGCCCTACTGTTTTTATTTTATTTTCATTATCCTCTTTGACTCTCCGATTCTTTCTGTGCTTCTTGTGGTTTGAAGTCGAAACTGCTGCTTTCTCTTCTATTCTTGCATTTTATGTCGCCTGGACGGCTGGAATATAATGGGAATACTAATTCGAGTGGTATAAAATCTGGGGTTAAAGTTTAAAGGCGAAGGGTTTCTTTTTCGACGAATTCCGAAACTGAAAATATCAGTTATCTTGAGAAGGCTTTTGCAATACTATAAGGAGAAGGGAAAGTAAATCGTTTGAACTGTTGCGCATGCTTCTTGGGCTCGAGCTTGGACGAGCATCTAGCTGTTTAATATTTGAGACCTTGAAAATTGAGCCGTTTTAAGGATACATGAATCGAAAGATAGGTTAGCATTCGCGTGACTGCACGAGGTTAGATGTAATATTGTAAGGTAGACGTTAGGCGAAGGAAGGATATTGTATTATTTAACTTAGTAGTGAAGTTGATGGATTAGATGACGAATGCACCAAAATACTTTTGATGCTTGTAGCTTTCTACTCTTTGGTCATTTTGGGTAATCCCAGGTCTTCAAACGGTGGCTTGTTTGATTTTTTTTAGAGCTGAACGCCGCATCTTTTTATGTGATGTTATTTTACTTATTGTTAAGCTGGTGTGGGCAACGATTCCCAATCTGAGTGCCATTTCTTTATTCTTTTGCAGGGGGTACGCAGATTGGTATGTTGTTTGGAACTGGTATATGTTTTTGTGAGATGGACAAAATTGATTCTCCATTAGTAGCAGCAGTCTCATTCCTTTTTTGTCTAAACCTTTTATATCAAAATAGTTCCGTTGGATCTCATATGCTACTTTGTGTGGCATTGTTATGTCCTTGCATTAAAGTCAAGCATTCTATTGTCTCCATAATTTATTCTGCTGCCATTAACATTAGTTTCTTGAGATATTCAGAAAATGGATAGCCCTTGAAAAAAGATGTAGAAAGCTAATTTGTCAAAAAAGTTTTCGTATAGCAATCATTCTGATTTCGAGACATTCATATCTTTATGTTGTTTTGCACCACCTCCGTAATTCTCATTGTAATCACTAAGAGACTCATGAGCCGGTCTCTTTTATGCTACTTGTGTTATAAACATTATCCCTCTAGAAAAAGTCTCTCACATTTCAATCCCCCTGAGTCTATTCTCATGACAACTTTCATTTCAACTTCTTATTGTGCACTCCATTTGGCCTTTCTTTTTGTTTCCTCCTCAGTAATTTTTTTATATCTCCCCATGAATTCTTCTTCTGGCCTCCGTGCCTTCTTCACAGTTACCTTGCAAGCTTGTTTTATTAGACAATAAGATGCCAAGGGGAAAGGGAAATGCTTCATCTACTGCTAGACCAGTTGAACCTGAAAAGCAGAATGAATCTGAAAAGCCAGTTGATTCTGATGAGAGGGTAGATCTTGATGTTGATAATGATCCTGAGGAGACAATGGAAGAAGATGTTGAGTACGAAGAAGTAGAAGAGGAGGAGGAGGTTGAAGAAATAGAAGAAGTTGAAGAAGAGGAGGAAGAGGAAGAGGAGGAGGAGGAGGAGGAGGAGGAGGAGGAGGGTGAGGAAGAAGACGTTGAAGAAGTGGAGGATGGTGGAAACAATGATAATGGAAATGATGCGCAAAATGAAATTGGCAATGACGAGGATGAAAAGAAAAGGCATGCTGAGCTTCTTGCCCTACCTCCTCATGGTTCTGAAGTATATATTGGTGGTATTCCTCAAGATTCTTCTGAAGAGGATTTGAGGAGTTTCTGTGCATCAATAGGAGAAGTTACAGAGGTAAGCTCAGTTATACTTATACTATATCCAGATTTTGTGCTTTTCATAGGGACTAATAATATTTTGCTACAAGCAGGTTCGCATCATGAGAAGTAAAGACTCAAATGAGAATAAGGGCTTTTCATTTGTTACCTATAAAAGTGTAGAGTTGGCTTCTAAAGCGATTGATGAGCTGAATAACACTGAATTCAAGGTATCTTTTATTTTTTTACTTCTGTTTCTGGTCCATTCATAAATAAGTTGATACATTAGGTGCAAAGTAGGAAACTGAAGCTGCAAACTTGTGGATTCTCTGAATCTTTTGGAATCTTCTATGTTTTTTTCTCCCCAATACCTCTTCTTAGTACTTTCTCTATACTTTTGTATGTGACGTAGGGGAAGAAGATAAAATGTTCATCATCTCAAGCAAAGCACCGTTTGTTCATTGGTAATGTTCCCAGGAGCTGGGGTGAGGAAGATCTTAGGAAGGTTGTGACAGATATTGGACCTGGAGTTACAGCAGTGGAACTAGTAAAGGTTAGCATGACAGAATCTTCATGCTGTATCTTAACATGACTTCTTTGCTACATCCGTACTATCCTGTTGTTCCACAAATATCTCCCTGAAGACTTTATAAGTTTGTCCACCATAACATGGTTTACAAGTCTAGGATTTGATGTCACTCAATATTTGGTTGCAGGATATGAAGAATACTAGCAATAACAGGGGTTTTGCTTTTATTGATTACTATAATCATGCATGTGCTGAGTACTCAAGGCAGAAGATGATGAACCCCAAATTTAAGCTGGACGATAATGCTCCGACTGTAAGCTGGGCAGACCCTAAAAATGCCGATTCATCTGCTGCTTCACAGGTATTGCCCAATTGCCTTTACATTTCACACATGACTGGTCCATTCCACGTGAATGTTATTTATTTTGTTCCATTGAATAATATTAGTATTAAATGTATTTGATTAAATTTTATATAACTCAGGTTGTTTAATAAATTACGCTTATGGAGTAATTGTAAAATGTTTTTTTTTTATGTAAGATAGTATGCTGTAGCTAATGACGATCTTGTAATTGTTTATGTGAGTAAGAACTATCAAATATATATCGTTCAAGATTTAATTATTTGTGTCAGTTTTTATCTTTGTGCATATAAATTTGTTGACAAATAAAACTTGAATGGTAAAATTGATAATTGAATTGAGTTTGATATCAAGTTTTCTAATCTAACAACTAATTTGTAATTGTAAAAATTAAAATAAGTAATTTCAAATTTTCAATATATCTAGAGTACAATAATATTCTTAACTATTTGTAATCATGCAATCAGTATTTGGTTAACTGCGTAAAAGGACATAAAAGATTGAAAATGTTTGTTCTATCCTCGCATGTGCAACTTGACCTAAAATTTAAATTTATACGATGATAAACATAATGATCAATGTAAAGTTTGTGTGATATGTCTTAACCAATCCTTTGCACCTTATAGTTAATTGATTTTTGTATAGATGGCCTTAGTTGGTTATTGACTGAAGATGGGACATGTTGAGTCTAGTTATATTGATTTCAGACTTTATCTTTGTGTGTTTTTTTCTTTCCAATTATAGTTTTTTGACCATCTTTTTCTGGTCAATACAGGTGAAGGCAGTTTATGTAAAAAATTTACCAAAGAATGTAACACAGGAGCAGTTGAAAAGGCTTTTTGACCATCATGGGAAAATTACAAAAGTGGTTTTGCCTCCTGCAAAATCTGGACAAGAGAAGAATAGAATTGGTTTTGTACATTTTGCGGAGAGGTCCAGTGCTATGAAGGCTTTAAAAAATACTGAAAAATATGAATTGGATGGTGATCATTTCTTCAAAAGCTCTTCTGTTATTTATTTATCCCTTTTACTCACCATCAAATGGGGCTAGTGTCTGATATCTGTTTTTCCACAATTGTATATCCAGGTCAAGTTTTGGAGTGTTCTCTTGCGAAGCCACAGGCAGATCAGAAGTCTGGAGGATCCAATAGCCAAAAGTCAGGATTGCTTCCTAATTATCCACCTCGTGTTGGATATGGCTATGTTGGAGGTGCTTATGGTGGTGCTGTAAATGCAGGATATGGTGCTTCTAGTTTTTCTCAGGTGAGATGTTTGTTCAAAACTCAATTGCTCATGTCTTGATAAGATTAACCTATCCATATCTTTTTGAGTTATCTTTTGTCGGGACAAGTGGCTTTAAGAGTATAGTTATCACTTGTGCTTAGAAGAATTCAAATAGTTTTGTGAATGTTACTTGACGTCAGGATATAATAACATTGGATTTGATTCATCTAGTCCAATGAAAGGAACAATTTGATGTTTTTTAAATTATTCGACCTGAACTTTCTGGGGCTTCTGTGTATTCCATTGGCTTTGAAGCTGACTATTTTTCCTCTTTTAGAGATGAAATAAAGAAACCCTGTGCTGTTGCATTTGCTTTGTCTCTAAACAAAAATTGGGAAAGATACCTCAACCGATATTTGTTCATGTTTATCTTTCGTTCTGTTCAGTATGATGACTGATATCTCAATCACTTTTCCTGGGCTAAAATTAATGTATTGTGCTGTTGCATTTGCTTCTGTGCTTGGATGTACGTTTTGCAGTTCATATTTTTTCTATGAAGTAAAATGTTTTTCTGATTAAATTGCTCCTGAGCTGCAGCCGTTAATATATGGAAGAGGACCAACTCCTGCTGGCATGGCAATGATGCCAATGTTGCTGCCTGATGGACGGATTGGCTATGTCTTGTAAGCTCATACGTCTTCTCTATAATCCATTGAGATAGTACAGACTACAGTTGCAAAATACAATCCATTTCTAGTCTAAATAGATTCTATAGCTTAAGCTAAAAGCTTCTGGATATTTATTTGCAGGCAACAACCAGGGTCACAGATGCTAACTCCTCCTCCACATCCAAGAAGTGGCGGAGGAGGAAGTGGCAGTAAGAATGGTGGCAGTTCTAGTAGGGGTAGACACACACATGACAGTGGGCACGGGCGTAGGTATCGGCCATATTAGTTTCTGCCGTTGAATCTTCTCCGCCATGAACAGAAAGGTTTCTGCTGGAAGTACCTCTTCGTCTAACATTGTGATCATAGATTCTTCTTCGGTATTGATAAAGTGGAGCTAGCTCATTTATTGGCTTTGTAACGTGCTTGTTAGTTTCTACCAATATTATCTAGGTTACAGCTCATATTAATTTATGTGTTTTTCTCTCGGTTTCGTTCTTTTTGCTTCCCACTTTTAGATCAGAATTACGATTTTAGTGATCGAATTCTGTGTGGTAAAAATGGTGATCTTGAACTTGGAGAATTGCATTTTTTACTTCAAATATGAGTATGGCTTACGTGGTTACAAATCCAAGTTCGCCTGATATGCATACAGCTGAAGGTAACAAATGAAGAGTGCTTGGTATCTGTTATCCTTCCTATTTGATTATTTGGCAAGGGTGCGATCAAATTTTATCTGACTGGTATTAATTATCTGATAAAAACTAAAATAATGCCACAATGGTTTATATCGAAATATTGATTCCACCAATTAAATTAATTAATCACTTAATAAACAAACAGTTCAACTTAAACAATTAGAAACAAAAAATAACTAATCACACTAAAGTTTTCTGTATATATTGTGATATTTTGTGGGGTCAATAAGAAAACTAAGAAACAAACATGCATTAGCCCCTGAAACAAAATTTTTGAGGAACCGTTACCTCTCTCACTAATCACCACATTACTAGAAAATTTCCATACCATTCTCGTAAAAAGAAAGAATCGAGAAAGTTTCAAGCACTCTTGTATTACGTGCTCTCTTCGTTAACACTGTAAGTTTTTCTTCATAAATAACTATTTCATTTCGCTAAACCTTATCATTTTAAAATAATACTGAAGAAGCTACTAGAAAATTTCCCAGACCTGCTAAAAAGTGTAGCTGTCGTTTATAATGTACAAGCTAAATTTGTCCGACATAAAAACAATGCTTCCTCGAAGATATGTAGGCCATCATATAAATCAATTTTCTAGTTTGGAAATAAATGGCGTACCAAGTGCAGAAGAACCACATTTCAAATACCTAATAAGTGAAACATAAGGTTTCTCATTCATCACTGGCACCATTCTCTTCTTCATCTTCATCTTCAACTTCATCTTCATCTTCATCGTGATCGTTATCGTTATCGTCATTTCCAACGTCATCTTTGCTTTCATCTTCAACTGTAGGCTCTTCTATCTTCCTCTTCTTTTTTGCTTCTTTTTCCCTGGATGCAGCTGCCTTCTTTCCCGCACTCTTGCGCCTGAATTCTACATTTACCCAAACAATGGTTGCATAATCCATAAATACTTCAATTAGATTTATCTTAATTCAAATACCGGATAAGTTTGAACATTAATTCAGCGACCAACAGATGGAAAATCATAGCCCGTGGAGAAAAAACAACTACTCTTTTTGGATACAATATGATACATCATTTATTTTCCATTAAACTAACCACAATAATCGTTAAGATTTTAAAAGAAATAACTACAATTCTGAATAATAGCTTGTGCTCATATAATGTCCACTAAGAATACAGACATACTGTAGCATGACCAATTGTTCTTTCTGACATAATAACAATCAAGCAAAAATGACAACATAATACCTAATCAAGAGAAAAGAAAGAAAAACTGTCTTCACGCTAAACTTACATGCAGCATTACGAATTCAGAAGTCTTTATACGTAGGCATTAAGCAAAGATCGCATACTTTCTCTCCGTCACATGTCCAACTACAAGTGGAATCACAACTAGCTCTGGTACATTGCAGGATACCACTATTGCCGATTTCAATAAACAAAACCTGGTTATGAACCAGTAAATACAAATTCTTACTCACTTTACCTGCTTTTTGATGTGATCTAAGTATGTACTTCTACTAATAAAACTGGACAACATCGGAAATAAATCCTAACTCTCACTCATTGGATATATAGCAAAGTTTTAAGAACTCATCACCTCAATACCATTTGCAGATACAACTAAACAGAACTAGAATAATAAGTCCCATAGATTCAAAGGCACTTGAATATTTCTTTTTTAGGAGCTTATTCGATCTGATCATGTAATTCTTTAAGAAAATATATTTTGGGTGAGTTATATCAGCTCTAAACTATCTCATTCAAATCGATGGTTACATGAATTTTACTTGTAGAAAGAATTGCGCAGATAAAAAATTTCACCAATATCTCTACTTAATGACTAGGAGACTTCTATCAAACAAATAGACAAAAAATGGGGTGGGGGGTAGCGATGGCAGAGTCATTCATCTTTAGACACCTAGTTTTACAAAGAATCCATTAGATCGAAGTTTAATATCCAACACATGATTTATATATTATTCGTTAACACTGTTCTATCAAGCTTATGATCTAAATTTGAAGTCTGAAAGTCTAGCAATACAAGGCACTGTTGTTCGGCAGCAACTGTCATATTTTTTTTTTATTTTTTTTTTTATAAAAGAAACAATTTCATTGATGTATAAGCCCATAGGTGGGATTACATGAAGCACTTCCAAGAAGGGAAGTTTAGCTACAGTGATGAAGGAAAGGAGAAAATTTACACCAAGATACAACATTGTAAACTATAGCACAACTGTAATACTCATCGAAGAGAACGACTAGATCATGCCTTTAAAGTTGTTTAGCAAGTAGAAATATCAAAAACAGAATTCCCCATTAAGCGTGCAATTCCACGATCCATCAAGAAATACTTTTTTGAAAAAAAGTGTAAACACAGCAGTGGGAAGCTAACGCACCATTGAGGGAGGCTTTGAGAGGCCTAACCAACTCGGGAAATTCCATATCTTCTAGAGCTTTCAATACATCATCCGCCTTTATCGTCTGCCTCTTCGATTCCTTGCATATATCATTCGACCTGCTTAGAGATCTACGAGTTAGTACGAATACAAGAACTAACCAGTACAAAACTTCAATTTCGTTAACCCTAGCGCCATAACAACCAGAAATACATGGCTCTAATCGGTTTCGCGTTCGTATTTTAGGTAAACAGCAGAGAAACAAGGAACCCTAGTTTCTACCATCAGAATCAATAGAATTTCATTCAGAATTGAAAGCATTAGGGCAGGTTGCCGAGCTTACGTAGCGGAGAGGTAGTGAATGAAGATTCGAGCGCTCTCGCAGAAGGCAAGAAGCGAGTCTTTGTTGACGGAAATGTCTTGGTTCCGGGAGCACTGAGAAAGCTTCTCTTTAACCACTCGGCGAACAATGGTCTTGGGAAGCTCTTCGATCTCCGCCGCTACTTTCTTCTCCATCTTTCTCCACAGCCTTAACTCTCTCTCCACTGTTTTCTTCTATGGTTCTTCCCTGAAGAGACTGCTTCTCTCTCCAGTCTTCCATTTTCATCGTTCTCGCATCTCTTTCCCGCCATTAATATCGTTCAGGTAGTTTCTGGTATCGGCCCAGAAGACATTGTGGGCTTCACTTGGTGATGGAAATTTATTGGGCCGGGCCGGGCTTCTCTCGACCTAGTTCGGCTATTTACCAAGAATGGCTATTTCTCGATGATAATTTGGATTCTCTTTGAAAAAAGAAAGGTTTAGATTTTAATAAATATTCTAGCTCATTTTTTTTAAAACTAAAATTAAAAGTAATTTTAAATAATATATAATAATTTACGGTAAATGGCCTATTTACAGTGAGTATTTACTATTTATTGATTTACTGTAATTTTTATTATTACAAATTTAGTCCTTTATGGATATTTTCTCATCAAACTAAATTCAGCCATGATTTAGAATAAATACGCATGGTGATGGAAACTAAGCTAATGTCATAATTATTTTTTTTTTTTTTATAAATTGCATTTTGCTGTAATTAACCATTGTTAAGAGCAGCGGTTATTATTTATTTAGGTTTGAGGAGCAAGAGCTGCTCTGATTTTGCGAACGGTGGCGACGTCCGTTCTAAAAGACAGGGCGAGTGCCGCATCGTCGATACCGGAGCCAAAAACGGCGGACGGAACAGCCACCGTGCCGGCGTCCGCACTTCCAAATCCGGAAACAGCCACAGCCGAATTATCCGCATCGCTATTGAACTGAAAATGCACCAATCCCTTGGGAAACAAGAACGAATCCCCCATCTCAAGCCTCGAACTATAGAGCGTGTTATTGGTATCAACAAATCCGACCTCAAGACGGCCTTTAACGAGGAGCAGAAGCTCCGCCGCGCGGGGGTGGGTGTGCGGCGGGTTGACGGAGCCGGCCGGGAACTGGAGAAGAGCCAGAGAAACGCTCTGCCCAATCTTGGCCGGAAATTGGGCCAGGCTCGCTTTGGTTGCCGTGAAATTTGGAGGGTTTTGGGAGAGGGCTTTGCGAATTCCGTGGAAGGTGAAGTAATTGGCGTCGATTTTGGTGGCGTTGGCGGAGAAGAAGTCCGAGAGGAGAGATGGGTCACTCGCCGCCACCGACACCGCCATGGCAGTTGTTAGGAGAAGCGCTGCTGCAAATTTGGGCGCCATTGATGGATGACTGGGTTTTGGGTATTTGATATTTTGGATTTATAAGAGAGGTTTGTTTCTGAGAATCGACAAAATGAACCATTTTCTTGCTGCGGTACGATGATCTCTAAGCTTTTCTTCTGTTCTGGTTATCTTGTTTACCAGACGACTAGGCCTAATATATTAATCATAAGATATAATTTTTCTTTTTGTTTTACTTGTCGTTTCTCACTTTCTCGTGTTTCTATTCTTAATTCTGTAGAATATCCACATTTTACTCGTTCATCAAACTTTGTTGGTACTCGCACCTATATTATTGGAGCAGAGGGGACTGAGGTACTCTCTACCAAAACTTTCAATTTACACCGACACGTTTTTTAGCACAGTCCTAGCTTTTTTTTTTTTTTTGAGGAAAAAAACCACTGTACAAATAATTCACTGTGTGGTATGATTAAAATCCAAAGTCGTGTGATATTTTTATGGTAGGTGGAATATTTTTCCAACGTGGGACAATTTACCTTCCAATATTTTGTGAAAATCCAACACTATTTAGGTCTTATAATGTTTATTTTACTTTTTAATCTTTTGTCTTTGTATTTTTCTTTTTCGGTTAGTTGTCAATAATTTTTACCGGTCAAAATTTAAGTATTTTATTGGATAAAATTGACACAAATTGTAAGTGAAGCACATGATTTTAAGAGGCACTCAATTTAACGTCCATGTGGCTCCAAGTTAGACATGGAGCTACATTATTGTTTGGACTGTGAGTAACACCACAGTGTTAAGCAACTAATGAGGAATGCAATATTGCAGCATAAGATATAGAGTTGAATGAAGTTTTTACCCAGCACCAGCACATTAGTTTCTGTTGACCAGGATCTAACTCAATTCTCTCATGGATAATACTTGGTTTTTTAACCTTAATTAAGGAATAATCTTATCTTAGCCACCGTTAGATGTTTGATAACTAAAAATTGATTTCTTTCCCCACTGCCAGACTCCTTTTCAAAAGCAAATTTCATTATGTGTAGAAAATAGCGTAGACTTTTCTTCCACCGTACCGAAAGGATAAAATTTTACTCTTCAATAATATAGCACAATTATTAAATATTTGACTGACTCGTGGGTGTATTATTACAAATATCTATCCACCTCTGACTAGGGAGAGTGTTGTGGTTTGCTTCACGGATTGGGTTTGTGGTTCATTGATGGTAGTCTTACACTGACACCAACTACCAAAGAAGCCTTTTGGGACACCCTTCATTAAACACCATAAACCATTCTTGCTTTCRCTCTACAAAAAAAATAAATAAATAAAAGAAACGCCACTAATTTCCTCTGCCTTCAAAAATTACAACATCTTCTTCTTCTCATATGGCTCTTGCAAGTTTTGTTACAGCATTGTCATTTCTGATCCTTCTTCCCACAGTTGAGCTTTCAACCGCTCATTTTCTGAAAGGGAACGTCTCCTGCCTTGACTGCCACGCCTCCTATGATCTCTCAGGTATACAAAACCAACTTCTTCTGGTTTCCTTAAAAATGTTTGTAGAAATTACTGGGCTCGTTTTTTAACCTTTTTGTTTCTGTTTCTTCGTTTTAGAACAAGAATGGTATCAAGAAATAAGAAATTTGTTTACGTTGTTTCTAAAAATTCTCTATGATTTTGAGAATGTTCCTAAAATCTTAAAAACAATAGTTAGTTATAAAATATTTAAATTTTTTAAAAAAATTAGAAACTAACAAGAGCCGTAAAGGGGTGGCACTTGACAGGGACGGTGGTGATGGTGAAGTGCGATAAGGTAGACAAGGTGGTTACAGCAACTACGGGAAAGGATGGGTTTTTCGAGGCGGAGCTGCACCCCAGTTCAGATGGCCGCGACTGCGAGGCCAGGCTCGCCGGAAGGCCCAACCAGATCTACTCCGCCACAAACACCATTGTCGCCGGAATCGTAAGGGGTGACGGCGGCGTCTACGGCATCTCCACTCCGCTGGCGTTCTGCACTGCTTGCCGCTCCATCAGCAGTGAAGCCGTCAAATATTGCAAGGCGGCCGGAAGGAAATTCGGTTCCTCCAAGACCTTCAACCTTCCTCTGCCGCCGGAGTGGGGCCTGGCGCCGTCCAGCTACTATTTCCCTTTCTTCCCCATCATTGGCGTTCCTTAGATATATTCATATTCTACTATACATATATTATATTATATGTATGTATTCGTCTAGGTGTTGTCTCTCAATCTTCTTACTTGCACTATTAAAAATTTGACAGTTACGTTTAAAATAACTGTTAAATTTTTCACAGAGGTAAGTAAGAAAGAYATATAGATGACTGATAAGGTGTGTTAAATTATGTTTAATTTAGTTTGTAATTTGTTTTTTAGGAAAAACAAAAAGAAAACTTAAATTGTGTTCAACTTTTGTATATTATATTTTTGTTTGATTTGCGGACTATTTTTTGTGGAGCTACATATCTTTGAGTTATATGTATCTAGAGTTATACAATTAGAGCAGATAAATACTGGTTTGATTCATAAGATTTGGATTAAAATTTTAATTTGATTTGTCTTAATTTTATAATTCTAAAGGTGGTGTGGACCATGTGGTAATGGTGTTAAAAAATAATTTTACAGATATATTTTATTTGACGAGTATCAGAAACATAGCTTGGGTTGATAATTAATATTTAAATATTTTAGTTGGGTGTTTGACCGAATACTATTAAGTATTTGGATCATTACTATTTATTAATTGTAATTTTTAATTATCGACTTAAACATAAATAAAAAAACGTGAATTTGAATATTCATTTCGATGTACAAAAAAAATAAATAAATAAATTTGGAAGGGTGGAATTAGGGAAGCCAGAATGAATTTCCCAAGCAGTGATTAACCGTCAAACACCTATTGGACTCATACTTTTTTGTTTTTTGTTTTCAGAAAATAAAAAAGTTAAGAGTTCACAAAAGACAGAGTTATTGAACTAATTTAATAATTATAGGTGGCCCAGTCGCCAGTGGATCCACGGAGTCACGGACCACGCCCTCTCAGTCTCCGCGCTTCCTCCGCGATTTCTACGCTTTATTTCCTTTTATTTTATCATTCTTTTTTCGCTTTAATCAAATGTATATATACAAACTTTAAATTAAATTTAACTAACCATCTTAAAATAAACCATAAAAGAAAATCAATTTAACTAATTATTATTAATCATTTAAATTTTAAACTAAATCTTTTTTTWAAAAAATTATTTCATACTTTACRTATATCTATAACTAAAAACTAGATTGAATTATAAATTATCAATAAGATATAATTAAATAAAATTAAAATTTAGTTTATTAATTCAAACGATTTTCATATATGAATATGTGATTTTGTTTCGACGCTTTTATCGAGACCGACATTTCCATAAGTATATTACCTSAKGGTTAAARGTTATTAATTATCAACTAATTAAATTATAATTAAAATCTTATTTACTAATTCAAAAAATTTGTATCAATATTCATAATTTCTGTGATTTTTTCTTAAAATATATGTCRACATTAATATGTCCATCGTAAAATCGAGACCTCGATATTTACCTCGACATTTGGAATAAGACACTTAAAATAAGAAAGAAATTGCACAAATTTTAGTTATTACTGTATTTTTTTTTYCCTGTGCTTTCAAATGGCCTGCCAAATTAAATAAGTCGAATGTTGTTGTTTTCCTTTTATACAAAATACATTTTCCGTTATGAGATTTTAGATTAATATCAATTTGGTCAGATTTAGAAAATGATATTTTTAGTAGTTGAGGTTTGAAAAATGATTCTAGATAGATTTTGAAACTATTTTAACTATCAATTGATTAATTGTAAGATGATGAATTGTGGTAATTGTGTTTCCTCGCTCGTTTAGGTCTCATTTACTTACCAGGAATCAGAATCGGAATCTRAAAGTTATTTCTTCTATACTAAATCGGAATTAGAATTGTTGTTTACTAAAATTGTCTAGAATTGGAATCGGAATAAGATATAYGTCAATTATTATATACCAATTTTTTATTTCTAGCTATTACAAAAATATTATTTTGCTATTTTTTTCATTACAATAATAATAAAATTTTAATTTATTTTATTACTATATTATTGATAGTAAATAGTTTTTATCATAATAATTTATTTAATATTAATAAATAATGACTAAWTAAAATAAAATTAYATTCACTAAAATATTTTTTATTAGAACCAGCATCATTTATTATAAAATATTATAAAACATCTATTTTATAATATTTAATAATAATGTTATTAAAATTTATTACTATACTATTTAATAATTAATGAATTTTATTTTTTTAAAATCTATTGATATTAATTAATAATAATAAATTAAAATTAAAATATTAAATATTAACTATAAATTTTTATTAAGAAAAAAATTATTAGTGGTGTAAATGGAAAAGTATAAAATAATTAAATAAAAAGTTATGGGTCTCATCAATACATAAGAGAAAGAGTAAAAGTAGAAAAGTAATTACAATAAATTAAAAGGGTCAAAAATAAGAAACGTGAATGAAATTGATGAGGGTGTATGAAAGGAATGAGATTGCACTTTTTAAAGAATGAGTTAATTTCTATTCCGTTGAAACGTAGTCTCACTTTTCTCCTACCTCTCACTCGTCAAGTAAACCTCGCACCCGCTGCCTTCATTCTTGCATTTCATATATGGAACATGTTACTCCATTGGAATGCTGACATGCGTTCTATTGGAATGTTGCATCAGATCTAACAAATAGGGAAACGACGACCCAGTTATAAGACAAATATTATTAAATTATAGTATATTTTTTTCACGTCGGCATGTACAGTAAATAATTTAACCATTAATCAACTCATGGTAAAAGAAGTTAAGTGATGATTAGTTAGAACCATTTTTAAACCTTATTGGCTAAAATATATGTTTTTTCAACTTCAGGACCAAATAGATTTTGACTTCGAGTTCATGCATAAAAATGTATTTTGTCTCTTTTTCTTGAAGTAAAATCTGACCCGCATATTGAAATGTTAATTAGTTAATAGTGGGGTTTAATTTTTCTAATTATATTAAATTGGTTAAAATTTTACAATTAAAATTTGTGGGTGCATGATAGCAATTACTTAGATCACGAGTAATTTTATATAATTTATTCAAGTAATAATGAATTATAAGTTAAACTAGAACAATCAATACAAGCTTTTTGATAGTATATTTACTAAAATCAATTTTGAGTTTATTTTTAAAAAATCAATTTTTTGTTGGAACTAAATGATGTGGTTTCCTATTGATTTTGTCAATTGACAAGTGAGAAAGAGAATTAATTTGAATTGAATAATTGAACTCATCACAGAAATATCAATAGAAAAAGTACTTAAAGAATACAAGGAGGCGAGACTTTTAAAATTTGAAACCAGATTCCATTCTCTAATTTTCTCTTCCAAAATCATTTTGACTTGGGAGTTATGACTTTGGTGTGGGAATGAAAGAAAACTTTTTGCTTACATTTACCAGTGTGGATGCAGAAGAATTAGTTTCCATTTCTCGACAAATAAGCCACTTAACTAATTAAACTATATTTAAATTGACAATATTATCATTAAATTTGATTAATTTTTGTTACGATAGAAAATTATTTCGAAAATAACAGTAAAGGTAAGTCTTTGACTTTTTAAATAAACAAGTAATTTAAACTATATATATATATATATATATATATCAAAAAATAACTTGACTCGATTATTATTTTAACCAATTAATCAAGACATAGTTCAATTGGTAAGGTATCCACTGCTTTTCTAAATATCACTTACTTTATTTTTTGCCCGATTGGCATGGACTACAAATTACCAACATTTCTTGTAAACTTACCCAACTCAATAATACATGATCCAGAAAAAAAAACAAAAGGGAGAAGAAATTTGACTTGGTTAATTTGTGGAAACATTTCTCCAAGATTCCGTGTGTATTGTGGGTGGGTAATATTTGAGAATTAAGAAATATAATATTGGGGAAGAGATGCTGAGAGGGAATATTGAACACAATTAACCAGAAAGAGATATATATATATATATATATATATATTATAAATAGGCGAGTTGTTTGGTGGTATATATAGGGGTATAGGCAGATGATAGGTAGAATGATTAATTAATAAAAATAAAATGTTATAATAATGTAAATATAAAGTTCGAATAGTATACACGCGTTGGAAGACCTTGAGGAGTGGGAGATATAATAATTAAGTTAAGTGGAGCCTCAGCCTCGGCTTGGCTGGTGCTGTTGTTTTCCAAAGTAAGCGTGTGAAAAAAGTTTTCCAAACACAGTCGCTGTCGTTGTCCTTGTCCCAGTYCCAGATTTTTCTAATTTTACTCGGCAAAGTTGAAATCCCATCTCTCTATACTTCCTATGTGTATATATATAGAGCATAACAGAGGGGGGTTTGAATTAAATTTAAAAAGAAAAGAAGAAGAGTTTAATTTTTTATTAATAACAATGGATGAGGTGGTCCGGGGAGAAGAAGAGGCGGCGCAGGAGCTTCTACCGGGGTTCCGGTTCTTTCCGACGGAGGAGGAGTTGATTTCGTTCTATTTACACAACCAACTCCAAGGCCGGCGTAGGGAAATCCACCGCGTCATTCCGGTGCTCRACATATACAGCATTGAGCCTTTCAATCTCTCCAGTAAGCCAGCGTAGATAATTAATTAATTAAATTAAATTAAATTTGTTTAATTAATGTAATGGAGTAATGGAGGGTTGTAGGGTATTCGGGGGAGAGGTGCAGGAGGGAGAGGGAGCAGTGGTTTTTCTTCGTGAAGCAGCAGGATAGGGAAGCGAGGGGAGGGAGGCCCAACAGAACGACGTCGTCCGGGTCCGGATATTGGAAGGCCACCGGCTCTCCCGGTTACGTCTACTCCTCCGACAACCGGGTCATCGGACTCAAGAAAACCATGGTGTTTTATAAAGGGAAGGCTCCCACCGGAACGAAGACCAAGTGGAAGATGAACGAGTACAAAGCCATTCAAGATCACCAAACTTCCTCTAGTTCCACTCCCGAGGTCATTTTTCATTTTTCATTTTTCATTTTTCATTTTTTAATTACAATTTAATTTTTATTTTATTTTATCATTATTATTATTATTTTTTAATGTGTTTGTTTTGATTTTGATTAATTCAGTTGCGACATGAGTTCAGTTTGTGCCGAATTTACGTCGTGTCGGGAAGCTTTCGAGCCTTTGATCGGCGCCCATTGGAAGTTTGCAACTGACATACGGCGGCGGAGGGGAGGACGGCACGCTACTGTCTTCTTCTTTCTTTTCTCTATAAGAAATATTTATTATTAATTTTTTGTTTTGAAGTTGCCAAATTTTGTCATTTAGAAAATAAATACCTTCGAGAAGTGTTAAGGCAGGAGATGAATGATTAAATTATACTTTCTAATGCTTGATTTAAGAAGTTGTGAGTTGGAATTTCCACGAATTCYCCCGWYATGTTGTAAAAARGACGGATGAAATGTTYGATTATAAGGAAAATTTGATGAGACCCTAATAAATAATAACACTAGCTCCTCATAAAAATAAAAATAAAAAGTTAACATAATTAATGCTAATGTAGTGTTGTCGGCAATATTACCAATTTAACGACTCATTTGGGTTGACAGGTCAAAAGATAATGTGATGCAATTAGTAAATTATAATGAGAAAATTCACATCAATGTGAAATGAAAATATTGGAACATAGTGTGTAATTTAATAAAGAGAGATTGAGTATATATTTAGTACCTAATATTTTTTTCTCTTCACTTTGGTCTCTAATATGGTAAAAAAGACCTTTAATTTTATTTCTTATGTATTGATTTTTTTGCTCTTTTTTCCAATTATGTATTTGTAACCACYAACTGTTAAAGAATGACCATTTAATGAATTAAAAAATTATATATTTTGCAAAGTTGTTAATAGGTTAATTTTTGCCATTTCAAAATTAAGTAAACTTACTACATGTTAAATCACATCAAATGAGCATTTTTTTCTTAAATTATATAGGCAAGTGGTATGTTGGTTTCATCTAATTAAAAGCATTTCAAGTTTAACTAACAGAGTACTTTGATATTATATAATTACTTTCTCAATTCATTTCAAATTGCAAGACTTTATTGGAAACAAAATTAATACATAGGGATAAATTAAAACTTTTACAAAATTAGGAAATAAATCGTAAAAAACAACTAAAATATATATATATATATATATATTTATAAATATATATATTTAGCCAACATAAGTATAGTTAAATATATATATATATATATATATATATATATATATTCAAATCTCAATCTCCACATTTTGTAAGGTAATATTCAAAATATAGTCTTAATCCATGAGTTTTTGTCAAATTTTGTATTTAGTTCTCGGACTTTTGAATTTGGTACTTTTCATTTTAGTTTTCATATTTCAACTATTAGTTTTATTCCTATGCTATGTACATATGAATGTGAATTTTAATAGACGTTTGATGATCAAAATTCTGAAAAGCAAAACTGAAAAAATTCCAACCATTTAAAATAAAAACCATCTAATATATAAATATTAGGGGCAATGGTAAAAACATTTAATAAAATTAGCAAAATAGCAACTACATTTAGTTTTATCAAATATAGCAATTCTTTTAAGAAAAATAAACGGAGGTCCAATTTTAAAATGATAACTTTATCAAAATGATATATATTTGCAATTTATCTATAATATATCCACAATACTACTTATATGAATGTCTCTACAATATATATATGATATATATTTAATATGCTATTGATATGAGTGGATGATAAATTACTGGTATGAATATATGATATATTACTGATATCAACGTAAATTTGTACTATATTTAAAGGTTTAGGTTTGAAATACATACAAAAAAAATTTGCTACTCACCTTTTAAAAAAATATTATTATTGATGCATTGTATGAGTACGTGAGCGCATTGATCACGAAAACGGGACTTTTCTTTGGGAGAAAAATAATATTTCAAAGCGACAAATAATCGACCAATTGTATGGTGGCCTAAGCCAATGTTCACATTACTTAATCCTTAGCAAAGTCAACTTTGAAGCGCCCGTGTTGGAAAATTCTATCTCCTTATCCTCTTATACTCACATGCTCAAAATACATATTTTTAATTCCTCTTTAATAAGTTAAATAATATAAAAGGGTCCTTCACTATTCTTGTTTCCTTAGAAATGAAACCAACTTAATTTGTATTTATGTATGTAAGCATTGTAATCTCTAATGTATATAGATGCTTTCTCTCGAAAGTAAATTTTGATTCGAAGGTTGTGAGTTTGTTCTCGAAATAAGGAGGTCAGTGCATTTGACTCCTAGCTTATTGAAGAGTCCTTGAAGTATTCGATTATGCATCTTGACAAAGTTTTTAGTTACGTGGTTTGATGAAGTATTTTGTTAGTGACACAACTTATGAAGTCTTTGGCTATACAGTTTGAAAATATTTGTGGATGCTTCTGAATCTTCTGGTATAATTCTCTATTTATACTATTTATAGAGCCTTGGTAGGTTTTATACTAGTGTTCTTCTCGTGAGCTGAGCTTAGGTATATTTGAGCTCAATCTCCATGATATGATCTAATTAGCCAATCCCGTTGGACAATCATAATAAAATATATGAAATAATTTGATTTATCAATTTTAAAATGACATTGTAAATTTGTAATGGGTAATAAATATAATTTTATCATTTATCTATAATAATGACATGATAATGATAATGGGTGGGACTCACGTCAAATCTATCCAAATCAATAGATTTATAACTTTTATTTGTTATTTTGAGTTTAATCTAGTTTTTTTTTTCGGCATAATTCAATTTAGAGGTTAAACAGTACAAAATGACATTGATGAATGAAGCTATATTTTTTATTTTACTCCAGACAATGTTTCAAAAAGTGAGAGATAATTAATGTTTTAAAATATTTTAATTTATTTCCTAAAAAGTTCCTTAGGTTAATTAGAATTCATCTATACGATTAATAATTATAACTTTTAAAACAGTACTATAAAGGATAAAATCAAAACCAACTAAACTATACAAAATAATGTTCATACTATATGTATAGTTGATTCAATTTTGCCTCAGTATTTAAAAGTTTCAAATCTACCACAAACTTTTAAAACGAATGGTAAAATTGAAACCAACAACCTAAACCATGATTTTTCAATAAAAAAAAAACTACCTAAATTATGGACTTTTGTATAACTTAACTTTAATTAATTTATAATTAGCTTTCTTAATAGGTCATAAATTTAAATGCGAAACCTACAAATAATCANGGGATACTCATTTTAGAGTGAGAGGAAGGGGACTAGGGAGATAAAGTTCTGAAACTCTTCTGTTCAAACTCTCGTGGATTTTGAATAGTCTTAAAAAAAAACGTAAAACCTAAATTCAATTGTATGCAAATCAAGCCAAAATTATGACAATAACTAATTATATTTATTATTATTGTTATTATTTTAATTAAGAAATAATTACATTTTTTTATATAAGCGCCAACGTCATGTTTATTCACAATGAAGACAAAAATTTTCGTTTTCATTATTGTCGAAATTGAAAAATTGAATATAATATCCAAAAGGGGAAGAAAAATCCTCTTCAATATTGTTTGGGGAAAGGAATGCCCTGGACACGTGGAGGACCCCTATTGGTGCTCCAAGATGGCTCATGAGTCATGTCCAGCTCGGATAGCCGAGATGGCCGCCACTAACGTCGACAAATGCTAAGTATGAGGGCCGAGGTGAACCTGGCCCAGGTCTGACCTACCGGGGAGCTCGGTAGGGGCCGATGTGAGCAACTGTCTGTGGCGTGATTATCGGGCATAACCGTCGGTCCTGAGATTACCGGGTGTAACCGACGGTTCCGAGATTACCGAATGTAACCGTCGCGAGATTAGCGGGACTACCACCCATAAGTAGAGGACCTCACTCCCCGATCAGGTACGATGATTTCTGGCCTTGAACTAAACTGGGAATCCGACCTATACTAACTTGATCGTCGGAGTGCTCACCTTTTTGTGCAGGTCCGCCCAAGCGTTCAGGTCGGTCCGGAGGCCGAGTTCGAGCTGCAATCTGGAACACACTGTTGTGCACATCTTTGCATAAACAAATATAGTTGTTTTTCTTTTCTTTTTTCTTTTTAAATTCAAATTCTCTCTTTTATACTTTACCCATTATTACTTTTCTTGGGTAGTATATTACTAGAGTTGTAATTTGTATTATTTCTTAGTGAATAAATTGTTATTCTAATTAAAATTTTATTAAATTTTATAATTGACGTGACTTTTGTTATAAACATTACAAACTTCTATCTAATTAGTACATTATTTAAACTTAATTAGTTATTGTTTTGTCAAGGTCAAGTAAATTGTAGAGATAAATTCTGTTACTATGAAGTAAAATAAATTAAAAATCACTATCAATAATAATATTTATAATTCAGCATATTACTAACAATTTTTGGTAAATACGTTTTTAATGGGGTTGGAACAATAGGAATAGGAGAAGGAATGGCTTACAGTAGGGTCATAGATAGAAAGTATATATTTTTCCTTTTTATATTTTTCCAAATTTAAAATGTCACGTATAACTCTTTCGGAAAAAAAAGTTTGGTATAAAATTGTCCGAAAAAGTTCTCTTTTTTTTTCTCTTTTTAAAAGTTTGTATTTATTTATCATGGTAATTTAAAAATATGTTAAATTATAAAGTTTATTTAAAAAGTTTGAGACAAATCTTATTTTTGAAAGATTCTAATTAAATTCTACACATTTTCAAAATGGATCACGTGATTGAGGTGATAGATAATGCAAAAAATTGTCGTACCTAGTATGGTTGACACGAGCTTCTATATTCTATTAATGTCTGGTTTTTATATAATTCTCCACTCCGACCTGAGCGTTGTATAAAAAAAAAAATATTAGTTTCTATATAATTACAAAATAAAAAATCAATAAAAATTTGAAGAAATAAACATGTCCATGATGCACATCGGGAGAAACCAAGGCCCATATGAGATGCTCCATTGGCCCATCACTGAAAACTCACAAAACAAGAAGTAAATTAGCCCTACGTCTGTGTATGTAAATGTTGTGTTCAAGTTCAACGACATAATCCTACCTCAAGTCATTTATTTTAGGTTAAATTATAAATTGAGTCCGAGGAAAAAAATGTTTAGTCTTTGTATTATTAAATTTGTCCTAATAAAAATTTCGACTTTTAGTTTTGTCTAATTATTCTATTATTTTTCAAAAAAAAAAAGATATGATTTATGATGGACCTATTAAATATGAAAGAATAGATGTCAATTACAACCGTGTTAAATTACATATTAGATAAAAGATTAAGGGTGTATTTAGGAGTGATGGTACAATTAGTGATTTTGAAAAAAGAGATTTTATAATTAATTTCTCAAAACCACCCTCCAAGTATCTTAAAAATCAATTTAAAATGAATTTAAATTTTTCTAAAATCAATTTTCTAATTTGTAAGACATAATCAATAAAAAAAATGATTTTGACAACCGCAAAAGTGATTTTGAGTTTATGGACTTATAGAACCAATAATAACTTTTTCTTTTAATACAAAAATATGTGAAGGTGAAGATTCAAATTCACAACTTATTACTCAAACATGAATAGTTTATTCAATTAAGTCAAACATGAATAGTTTATTGAGCTAAGTATAGATTAACAACATATGTTATAACTAAATAATATATAAAAATAGAAATAGTTTTTGTATTTAATGACGGGTAAATATACTATTAATATAATTTTAGGAAAGAATGATTGTGTTTGTAACGTAGTACGAAGTTTCCGTGTCTCTGTGGGTATCTTTATCAGAATGGGCAAACAACTATGCAGTGGACTCGCCGTGCAACCATGGCAATCAATCCCGGACTCAAAGAACTCTCATAATTTTCCACAATTGAGAGCAGGGAGAGAATTTCTCCCTAAATCGAGACCTTGAAGAATTTTGCGTGTTCCTCAGTACTCATACCAGAGGTTGGAACTTGGAAGGCTTCTGAATTTTGCAGGCGCTTGATAAAGCAGAAGGTTCGCTCAGCAGAAAGAGATGGCCATCCTTTATGCGGTGGTGGCAAGAGGTACGGTGATATTGGCCGAGTTCAGTGCGGTGACTGGCAATACCGGCGCTGTCGCGCGGCGGATCCTCGAGAAGCTGCCGAATGAAGCAGATTCTAGGCTCTGCTTCTCTCAGGAACGCTACATCTTTCACATTCTGAGATCTGATGGCTTCACCTTCCTCTGTATGGCCAACGACGCATTTGGCAGTAAGTGTTTTCTCCTTGTTATGTTATCGATTTTCTGCCTTTGCGCCTCTTGTTCTCTACTACGCATTAATCATATTCGGATTAGGTTTTTGAATTGGTGCCTGAGGCAAATAGATAATGTTGATGTTTTTCGTACCTGTGCCCTTCAACTCACAGTGGAATTAGATACTTCGCTTAATTAATTTTGTTCACCTTCAATTAACTAGCAACGGATTCTAAAATAAGGAAGAAAGAGGAAAGTTATTGGTTTCTTAGAAGAGAACTTACTATGTATGAGATTATTAGACTGTCCAGAGGATATGCCTTTTTTTGGCTTTGTCGAGTCACGTTTTATTGAGAGGGAACCAGGTAACGACTATGGTGCAAGAGATGAAGGCCCGAAGGTTGAAACTCCTCTACTCTTTGTTGGTACATCAAAACGATGATTTATTTGTTATTTCTCCCCGTTCCCTTTCTCAGCGTCAAAGAAATTGTCAAACTTGCAACCGATGGAGCAATTTTCACTTTTCACGAACATATTAATCTAGTTATACTTTCCCTATTCTTTCAGGGAGAGTTCCTTTTTCTTACTTGGAGGATATCCATATGAGGTTCATGAAAAATTATGGTCGAGTGGCCCACTATGCCCCTGCATATGCGATGAATGATGAATTTTCAAGAGTGTTACATCAACAAATGGAATTTTTTTCTAGCAATCCTAGTGCTGATACCCTCAACCGTGTTAGAGGTGAAGTAAATGAGGCAAGTATATTTTTTATACTGCATATATGTAGCATCAAGGGACACGTACAATTTATTCAACATTCCATTAGTTCTTGAAGTGGACGGAGTCTTAATCTTTATCTTACGGAATTCTGCTAATACTGTGTGCTTTATCTTCTGGTTAGAAGTTATAACTATATCCATAGCCAATTCAAGAGAGCATTAAATGTAAGCCACGTATTTGTTGTTTTTACTAACTTAAGCAACTACTTTTAAAGGGATGCTTAGAGACGTGTGATCTATCATTAAACAAAGACTTCTCCTTCTCACTTAAATATTTTGTCTTCTTGCTTGAGGTTTCCAGAGCCATGATCAAGCCTGGTAGATGCATCTTCTTCCTCCTAAAGAATTTGCTAGTTCACATGTCATTTTGATACATTATTCATTTCTTTTTTATTCAAAATTTGTAGTGGTAATGTGATAGGATTGTGATAGCATTATTAGGATTATAATATAATACTCATACTCAGAAAGTTTATTAGAGTTGAGTGGTTATGAATTAGTGAGTTGGGGGGGGGGGGGGTTGGGTTGGTAAGATTATCACACTAGTATTCTCTTTTAGCTTTAATACCAATAGTTTCTTAATTTTCCACTTCAATTCATTGTTTGTTAAAGCACAATCATCATTATGAATGGATCCAAAGTTTAGGGAAATTTTGTTGAAAGTGCACAGTAGGCTCTGATATAATGATACAATGAGTGTTTTTGCATTCATCATTGAGCTTCAATATATGGAATGCTATCCTCAATCTTGTTTTCTCATGCTTGATATTCTCTAAGAATGAAAGGCTAAGCCCATAGATAAGCTAAAACAGATTGTGGTGAGCAGGGTCCATGAGGAAATTATTTCTGCAGTTTATAATAGGATTAATTAGCCTCCCATACAATCACGGATGATAGGAGGAATGCATGGGAGAATTAGGCATCTTTTGTAAAAAGGGGTTGTGTTGCCTCATGTAAGGTTGTCAGAGGTATATGATGAGTGTAAGCATGAGACAGGCCAGGGGTGCACCTGGTTGTCCGGGAGAGCATCAAACCTTTCCAAAACTTGTTAAATATGTATTTTCTTTCCATAGTTTTTTTTTTTGGATAAATTCATTGAACAAAGGGAGCAACAAACGACCTAAGGACAGGTGGCAAGAAGACCCCTTCCCAAACCAAAACTAACATAGAAAAGCTCTCCAATTTGCATAATCGTAGAGAGACTGTATTTTCTTTCCGTAGTAATACAACAATGTGATAGCCTCAATTTTATTTATCAATACACAAGCCAAGGGAGATAGAGAGCTCCCCTTCTCTCCCAGTTCTCAACAGAGAAACCAGRAGGAAAAACTATCCGATAAGATACCCCAAAACAACTAATCCCCCTCCTTAAACCCTATGGGCCCACACATAACTAACAAAATTTTCTATGGGCCCCCTTGATACTACATAATACCACCTCTCACACCGACTCCTTCCTCAAGTCACACACATACACTCATACATTCTAGTAATTTGGGGCCTACYACAATGCTTTCGCTTTAGTATTCTGTCAAGTGGCTCATTAGTTTGGCTGAATTTATGGTATCTGTGTCAACTTCACAGACACTGAATTGGAGTTTCACCTTACGTTACCAAGTTTTGCATCATTATGAAAAATGAAGGATCAGTTGCTGATAAAATGGCTTGCCAAAAGGATGGAAACTTTTGGTGCCTGATATGTTGTGATATGGAACAAATTTAAGCCAGGGAATTTCGTGAGTCTGGAACTGCACTTGAAATAGATCTTACTTTTTAGATTTTAATCTTAAACCCTCAAATCTGCTATCATGTCATCCTTGTGTGCTCCTTTGGCTATGATACTTAATTGTCCACTTCAATTTCTGGTCCCTATCATAATGTTAGCATATATTCTTTTTTCTGGTGGTACTTTTCTTCTCTGTCCCTAAAATCTTGTGTTGGAGACATTTTATTAGTAAAAAAAGAGTTCAATAATTAATGGAGAAGATAATATCCTTCCCTTTGGCAAAAGTTTCTAAAATCTCTTAAATTGGTATAAATCCTAAAAGGAGAATAGTTACGAAAAGGTTTATACAAACAAGACCAGCTTTTCCACTAAAATTAATTATCAAGTGTCCTCAGATATTACCACACTTTCATTACATTTTATTCTCTATCGGTATGTGTTTTTCTTCATTGCACCTTTGGCTTTTGCAGATACGAACTGTTATGGTGGACAATATTGAAAAAATACTGGAGAGAGGTGATYGTATTGAACTTCTCGTTGATAAAACTTCAACAATGCAAGACGGTGCATTTCATTTCAAGAAACAGTCCAAGCGACTTCGTCGAGCTCTTTGGATGAAAAATGCCAAACTTTTGTAAGTAATTTGGAGGATGTTTGAATTTTTTTAAAATTGCTTTTAGACTGATTTTTAAATTTAAATATATAATAAACTTAGATGAATTTGTATGGAAAAGCAGTTCAATATTATTTCTATTACCTAGGACATGTTTGGGATAGTCAAAATCACTTTTGTCATTTTCTAAAATTACTAGTATATCATTGTCAAACATTACAATTTTAAATGGATGTGATTTTGGCAATGACAAAAGTAGTTTTGATCATGCTAAGATCACTTTCAAACACTGTTTGATACTGAAATACAAGTAATTTTAGAAAATGGCAAAAGTAATTATGCCAAAATCACTTTCATCGTGTCCTTACTATTCAGGAAAAAAAATTCATCAATTRCATTAATTTTGACTTCAAACTTGGATACGTGTGCAATCTTTACTTTKTTTTAGTACAAAAACATGTGGGGTGGGGGGTTCGAACACATCTAACCAATCGAGCTAGGTTGAGTTTGGCAATCTTTCCTTTTAACTTGAATAAGGGTTGCAATCTTTACCTTTTGATGGACTTTGATTTGAAGAATGGTGAAAGAAACATCAAGTATTTTTAGAAATCTTTTGTCCAACATGGTCTTTGAGTAGCTATTTTTTTGTTTTTAAAAACAAAAAGTTATTTTCAACCAGAACTTCCAAACAGCCCAGGGAGTTCGTAGCATATGACTCTGGTAACAGGGATTGTAGAAGATGATGATTATGGAAGAATCTATATAGATTGAGATATACCGTCTTCAGCTTAGAGAACGTGACTAAGAAGAAAAGGGTGATGAAACACCGTGTCAAATTATTATGTTGCTCACTGTAGATATTTGCGAATAATCATTTTTTGGTTTCACAATTAAAGTGAACCTTACCTGATGATGTTATGAGTTCCTAAGCAGGAACGTAATTGCATCAATGAATAAGTTTGTGTGTTGTTATTTGGTAAAGATTTAAGCCTGTTTGATGTTTTGAGTACTAAGTCTGTTAAAAAAATTTGGTTTTTTGATAGAATCTTATATTTGCATCTTTACAGAGCCCTGTTGACATGCTTGATCGTAGTGTTGCTGTATGCAATAGTTGCCGCTTTCTGTGGGGGAATTACTCTATCTTCCTGCAGATCTTAAATTCCACCACAGGTCTGATTACGATGATGGATWTTAAGCTGYTTCGGGGACTTTCAAAATGGAGGATGGATTAAGCGGCTTTGCACTACAGATTACAGAATCGTAACATATAATAATTTCATGTTCATAAAGCTGTAAACTTGTAGATTTGCCCCTCCTGTAAATTCCTCTCTTTGGTTGCAGTTTGTGCGTAGCAGCTAGCTGCTGCTAATTGCTCATGGAAAGCTTGTTGAGTTATACTTTCGTATCCAACTAGTTTCATTTCGTTTTGTAAATTGCCTGATATTTAGTGTTGTGCTATGTTATTATTTGAAGTATTCTTATATTTCAAAGGACATTGCCACCATTCCTGCCTCCCAGTTTCAATAGATTCTAAATTTCTCATGATCTTAAGTTTTATAAGTTTGAGCTTTTACACAAACAAGAATTCCGACTTCACTTCTTGTAAATCTGCTGCCGTGTTCTGAGATAGAGCTGAAATGAAACTCTTAAACTGTGTCGGGGGAAACCTTTGTTTAATCTTCTTCTTCATCAATTTGCGCACCTCATCACCTGTTTACCTGCTATTAAAGCATTTTATTACCATACAATCATCTTCATCTTACGGTTCTAACACGGTAATCGTATATCTTATTCTTCTTCTGCTAATTCATAGTAGAATTTACATGTTGAAGGCCTGTGATTTTCATTACTTTAGTTTTCGTCATCGCTACAGGGATCTTCTGTCAGGATCCAATTGATAATTTCAATTGGTGGGTGATTAATGTCCCTGTCATTAAAGAATGAATTTCATGGAGAAATTGAAGTGCCAGTAGCTCTCCCATAGACAATAATATTATTATTATGCTCAACTATCAAGACATTGCGACTTTTTGGTATTAGCTATTCAGAAACTGTATAATTTGTGTTGAAAGTTTGTACTAGAGTGCTACTCTATCTTTGTATGTTTAATTTTCTGAGATTACCCCCTTAGCAGTAAAGGTGGCACTTTCTATTTGAGAGATCCTTTCTTGTCTGTGAGCTATGTGTTTGCATGTTTCTTGTTTTATAATACTCTGAATTCCCTTTTGCCGCCATATTT